GTGTGTGTGTGTGTGTGTGTGTGTGTGTGTGTGTGTGTTTGTGTGTGTGTGTTCCTATGCTTGTCTTTCATTCATCCAGGCTTACCATGGACACTGTGGAGCATTAGAGGTCCTCCTGTCATCCCTGCTGGACGTGGACGTTCGCAGCCCAGAGGGCCGCACCCCCCTCAGCCTGGCCTGCTCCAGTGGTCATCAGGAGTGTGTCTCCCTGCTGCTGCATCACGGAGCCTCACCCATGACCCATGACTACACACACAAAAAGACAGCCATACATGCTGCAGGTATACAAACAAACATGTATATACACACACAGACACTAACTGGGCAGATGAAGCACATCCACATCACATGAATGAAACATTTAAAACATGTTATTGCTGTAGAGCAATAAGTTTCACCCCGGAATGTTTGTGTGTGTCTGCTGTAGCTATGAATGGCCACCCAGAGTGCCTTCGCCTGCTCATGAGCAACAATGACCAACACATTAATGTGGACTTACGAGACATCAACGGACAGTGAGTGTTTATGTGTGTACATAGACAAAATGGTTTTGATTTGAGGCTTTCAGTGCTTAATTATGCTATTATTTTGCTAATTAGCCTAACTAGTAATAATAAACAACTGTTTAATGTCATATTTACAGGACTCCTCTGATGTTGGCTGTGCTGAATGGACACACAGAGTGTGTGTACGCTCTGCTTAGTCAAGGAGCCAGTGTAGAGAATCAGGACCGCTGGGGGAGGACGGCACTACACAGAGGGGTGCGACAGACACACAGACACACTAACATTATATCTTTTTAAAAATGTTTTTATCATAATATATAGTTATTTATAATTTCTTATGTTTTCCGCTTTTAATTGTCGCACAGGCAGTGACAGGTCAGGAGGAGTGTGTGGAGGCTCTCCTCCAGCGGGGGGCCAGTGTTTGTGTGAAGGACATCCGGGGCCGCTCACCTCTTCACCTGGCATCCGCCTGTGGCCGTGTTGGTGCCCTTGGTGCCCTGATGCAGGCCACCACCACCCCACACACTGACACACACCTCACTGACAACCAGGGCTACACACCACTGCACTGGGCCTGTTATAACGGTACTTCTTGAGATACCCGTTAACATTTATGTTCTGTATGAGGTCACAGTATTTACATCTGATTCACCCTCACAACCTGTCATCTCTCTGTCTCACCAGGATATGATGCGTGTGTGGAGGTGTTGTTGGACCAGGAGGTGTTCAGGCAGATCAACAGCAACTCATTCAGTCCACTACACTGTGCTGTGTAAGACAACATCTGCACCCTTTTATTTAAATGTCATGGACACTGGTGTGGGAGTGTGTGACGATGTGTGTTGTGTGTTTCAGGATGAGCGACAACGATGGAGTGGCTGAGATGTTAATTGACTCCCTGGGCGCAGCTATCGTCAACACTACTGACTCTAAGGGCAGGTAAGAGATGTGAATGACGTCATGTTTCTATAAAAAGGGTGAACTCAAGCTCTGATGCTTTAATGTGACCCGTGTGTGTTTGTGTTGATGCAGGACCCCTCTTCACGCTGCAGCTTATTCCGACCACGTGGAGTGTGTTTCTCTTCTTCTGAGCCATGGTGCTCAAGCAAACGTAGTCGACACAAACATGCGCAGCACACCGCTCATGATGGCAGCTCTGAACGGACAGACCAACGCTGTGGGTCAGTACATACTTACTCACTAACACATAGACGTTTTGTTTGCCTTTGATTTCAAAATCTCTGATGTGAAACCATCTCCTTGTGCTACAGAGGTGTTGGTGAGCAGCGCTAAAGCAGACATGGCTCTGCAGGATACAGACAGAAACACAGCATTACATCTGGCCTGCAGCAAGGTAACAAGGATATCTGAGCTTGTCAATGTCACAACATGTCAAATTAAAAAACAGATTTGTCCCACGTGTTGGTTGTGATAAAAGAAGTAACGAATCAAAGACTTTCAACATAATGTGGACAACTCAGAGTGGATTTTTTTCTTCCTTATCTGTGAGCAGCATTTATTTTATAGATCTGAAAGTGGTTATAATTTGACAATTGTACTTTCATTTATTGCAAGACATGATCATTTGTCATCCTCTCAGGGTCATGAGACGAGTGCCTTGTTGATTATGGAGAAAATCAGTGACAGGAACCTCATCAACTGCACCAATGCTGCTCTCCAGACGTATGTATACTCCCCGAATGCAGCAGATTAATTTACTAAATTCCTACCTGGATTTAAAATGTGTCTTGAGCGATCTGATCATAAGCAAACAACTCTGATGAGTTCCTGCTCGACCAATCACAATTAGTTCACACAATATGTCTGTCTGTGGCCCTGCAGGCCACTGCATGTAGCAGCAAGGAAGGGTCTGACGGTGGTGGTCCAGGAGCTGCTGGGGAAAGGAGCCAGTGTGTTAGCAGTGGACGAGAATGGTCAGCTTTCATGTCACTGTTTCAACACATTCACAGTTCACACATGTAGTTCTGGAGTGAAACTCAAACTTCCTTCCTCCTCTCATTCATAGGTTACACTCCAGCTTTGGCCTGCGCTCCCAACCGTGATGTAGCCGACTGCCTGGCCCTCATCCTCAACTCCATGATGCCCACCTCCCCCATTGTCACCATAGCCGCTCTACCTGCACTTTCTCTCGCTCAAACGGTCAACCACAACTCCACCTCCAACCACATCTCCAAAGGCGTGGCCTTCGATGCCCTGCCCCCTCTGAGGCCCAACCATGCCTCCTACTGCAGGCCAGAGCGCCCGCTGTCCACTGTGTCTGCAGACGATGAAATGAATGACTCGGATTCAGAGACATACTGAGAACTATTGGACAGAGCCTCGCGGTTCTGACAGGCTAAGCAGACACTCAGGAGCCTTAATAGTTCACTGAAAAGGGACAGAGAGGGAGATAAAGGAGGATAGTTTTTATAGGTAAACCTCTTCAATAATAATCATTTCTGTGTATCAGATGTTTGTTTTCATTAAGGTGGAAATAATGTACTAAAATATAGAATAAGGTAAAAACAAAATGCATTTCTCTCAGACAGGCTCACTGCATGGTCAGTAATATGGCCAGTGTCTTTTTAAAATTTAAAGCAATGTAATTTTCTTTTTAAATGCTGATACTTCCTCGAATGGTTTTAAGTCTTTTCACAGTTTATCCTTCTACAATCACCAGAGGAGCGAGAACTGGAGAGGACAGATTTTGTCTCAAGAAATAAACAAACGGACAATCTTATGGGACCAGGAGATGGATGAACTGTTTTCTCTTGTGTGCTTCTGAGTTTTATTCTTCTCAGAGCGTTTGCGGCAGCCGCCGAAGACTCTAACTACCGCGCATTGCTGCGTAACTGATGTCGAACCACTTCTTGATTCCGAGGAGAGGAAGTCGCTATTGAATCCTATGAAAAATATGAATTTATTCCGAGCGGGGGCCGAATCCTCGAGGAGGTGTTTCTGACAGCAGGTGGATGTAAGAATCCGGATTGACGGTGCAATTGAGCGACCTGAGGAACTTTAACCTGCTATGCTGTAAACTACTTAATGTCTGTGTACTGTACTGGAGACAGGAGAAAGTGGCTGACACTGTGCATAATGTGTGTATAAGAGATTGTGTGCGTGTGTGTGTGTGTGTGTGTGTGTGTGTGTGTGAGACAGAAATGAATAAAAACTGCCAAGAACCTTTCAGGCAGAGGATGAACTACCTGGTGCAATGTTTATAAAGATTAAGTAACAAAGGAATAAAGATATTTGTTTTTGATTTATTGCAGTTTGTACAAAAGTGTAGCAGCTGAGTTGTCAGTATTATTGATGAAGAATCAATTTTGAAGTGTATTTCGTCCCCTCCCCGTAAAAATTACTGAACATATTATCACAAAATTTGTGGAAGAATTTGATATGAGTTGGGGTTTTCTATCACTATCACATCATTTTGAGATAGGGCATTTTTGTTTTTAATTCAAAGATCTTGGTGAAAAATATCAAACATATTTATGGAACTGGTAGACTCTTGGGCCTTGCAGAGGGATCCTCCACTGGGTGCTGTTCTGGTTAAAAAAATTGTCCCTTTTTTGTTTAAAAACTGCAGAAAAATGTAACTTCCCTCTTTAATTTCCTGCAGCTCGAGCTGACCTGAAATGTCTTGATCTGTCCAACTATCTGTCTAAAACTAAAATATATTCTATTTACATTCATGTCATAAAAATGACAAAACAATATTTTTTTGTCCACCAACTAAGTCCTGCAGCTCTGGTTCATTTGTTGTCCAGGTGGTACATTCGTCCGTACAGACAGGCAGTGACAAGGCCACCTGTCATGTTTGAATGTTTCATGGTCACTCTGCCGTCTGCTGTCTTCTCCAGGAGCTCTGGCTGCTCCAGAACGTAACGACTCGCCAATATTGATGGGTACACATATCTGGTCCCAAACATCGCCTCCAACAGGAAGTCCATTTTAGTCTCTGCCTCTTCCACTTCCTGTCCGCAGGTGCTGGACTCCAACCCTGCACAGCGCACCAACGCACACACCTGTAGACAGAAGGTACAAATGTGACAAGTGTCTCCTAAATCAAATCTAAAATCTTCTTACTCATACCTGCAGAGCGTAGCGTCCATTTACAGTGTGTGTGCCAGCAAATGCCCCCAACGCATAGAGCTCTTTACTGTGGCCCTGTTGTGACTGCCGGTACTGCAGGTGACAGCAGACAGTGCCGTGACACACGTCAAGTTGGCCCTCTGTCTCATTCAGGAGGACAAATGTAAACGGATCATACATCATGGATGAGGTGAAGGTGACAGAGGAGGGGGAGACAGCAGAGGTGGCCTCAGGATAAAGGGAATCAAGACAGCTTTCTTGGTGACAGTATCCTGAGTCTGTATCTGTAGATGATGTGGACTTTTTCCTGACTGTACCCTCCTCTGACGTCACTCTGTGACCCTCACCCAGTGGCTCCAAGACCGGCACCCTGGCCACCAGCAGCCTGCCCTCCTCTGGATCTCCTCTCTGTGCGTGGTGGTAGGTGGCAGAAAAAGGCGTGTAGATACCGCTTCCTGTCATTATTAGATGGTTGTTGCGGATGTTGGACGCCAGCAGGGTGACGTTGGCACCCAGGCTGAATGCCTGCTGGAACTGGATCGTGTCCAACAGGGGGAGCTGGTTCATCCAAGCTGTGGGGAAGATCAACTGACGCACACCCTGCAAGAGAGGTTGAGATTAAGAGGAACTAAAACACCAAACACAAGCAAAATGTGAGAGTATCATTGTTCTACCCTCTCCACCAGGGTGATTATGGGTTCATGGAACAGGATGTCAAAGCAGGTGAGGAGGCCGAACGTCCCAGCGAAAGGTGTTTCAAATGTTATGATCTCAGGCTGCGGTGGTGTGTCAAAGGCATTCTCAAAGTAGAGGTTTTGTTTATGGTAGCGTGCCACCAGATGCCCATCAGACCTGTATAAAACAATATACTATCAACTGTGTGTATTTGTGCATGCAGCTTAATTACTTCTATAAAGCAACACTATGTGATTTTTCCCCCCTAAAAGAGCATCTTCAAAATCAGTTTGGCAACTTTGGGAATAAGGAGAAAATTGATGCTTGGAAATTGAATTGCTTAACTGCTAGAATCGGGTTCAGCAAGTTCAAGAATAATGCTAAACTGTAGATCGGTTAAAAAGTTTGAGAATTTATGAAAAAAACTGTGAATCTCAAATATTCAGGGAAGAAATGTTTTAAATATGAAGAAGTTTTGTGTGTTTGTTACAGCAACAGATCAAGAAGCTGGGGGATCCGTGGAATATCCACTGGACTGGTTGTGTTTACGTTAAGTGAGTCAACACATTGATGAGCTTTACATGAAAACCACGAAGAGAATGTATATCTAAGTGGAGGTAGAGGGCGCTGTTGCTTAAGAAAAGTGACATAGTGTTGCTTTAAGGTTCCACTGGACCTGAAAACCACATTTGTGTTGAACTGCCAGTGTCCATCAGGCGGACAGGGGGAGGAAGGGCTGGTCGTCAGGGGGCAAGGCTGCAGGTCAGCCATGTTGGCCACCAGGTAGAGGTTGTATCGACGTGCCATACAGCTCAGCGCCTGCAGAATCTACGAAACAGCAGCACAGAGGTGAAGAGTGAAGGCTTTGGGCAGACCTCATCACAACAGGTAAAAATGCCCAAATTCCTGTTTAATGACTAATATTCAAGTTAAGATTCTGCACCTCAGTGTTGTTGTGTCTGCCCGGCTCTGTGCAGGGATTCCAGTTCTCCTGCTGGGGGTCAGGAATGGTTTCCAGGTAACCAGAGATGGACGATCGGCTGAAGTTGAAACCCTGAAGACCGTCCTCTGGAAACACCAGGATCTGGGCTCCCTGACCAATGGAAGATGAGACGAAATTCATCAGTCTGTTAGAAACAACAACCCCACTTTGTTATCTGCTCATACAGCAGATCTAAGTACAGTATGATTACTGTGTGTGTGTCGGTACCAGCTGGGCTGCTCTCTCACTCTGCTCCTCGTAGATCTCCAGGTTCTTCAGCACATGTCTCAGAGCTTCGGGTCGGGACAGTGGAACCCGAGGCTCCGGGTTCAGGACCGGGTGATGCTCATACACGGCGGCGACGTACGAGGATCCAGGAGCGGACTCGGTCTGACCAGCAGCCGACGTCAAAACGAGAAAACAAAGCGCGACTGACAAATACATGGCTGCTCCCACGAGACGATGGTGGAACACAGACTGAGCAGTTACATCACAGAGAAATGTCAGGTCAAAGTACCCAGAGTCAGCTGACATGTCTGACGAAAGCGATAAGAAGCTGTAAAACACAACCTAACGCAGCAGTCTATGTACATGCATTAATCAATGTAAACAAAACCCTTATTTTGAAATTACAGGACAGGAAACCTTAAGCGAGTGACCCGGAAGCACTTAGGGTATCCTTTAGCATTAGCATTTGAGAGTAGCACAATGTCAACAGCACCGGAGGCTCCGACGGAAGGAGCCGCTGTCCACGCGTCTCACTCCGGCCTGATGCACAGGAGCTGCTGGGGCTGCCGGCTCATCTCCGGAGGCGGTTTGATCCTGGCCGGAGGTTATGTGTTCATGGCGGCCCGGAACATGATGCGACGAGGCGGCCCCCCCTCCATTGGCGCAGTGATGCAGATCACCTTCGCTGCAAGTGAGTGGAAGAAGCCTGTCACAGTGGATCTCTGTTCATTTAGGTGAAACTTCACTGACACAGATTTGTGTCTCAGGTTTGGCTGCGTGGGGCATCGTTATCATCGCTGACCCGACTGCAAAAAACACAGAGAAGGACGCGAGGACGCAGAGCACTTAAAGAAAAGTATTCACATGGCTCCAACAGAGACTGACAAGGACCACCATGTGGCACCTAGACAAATAAGACACTGCTTCCCGGAACTATGCAGATAAGTGTGGTCTGATTTTTGTTCCCGAGAGCATCCAGCAGGTTTGGAGTTTATCAGCTGCTTAAATTAAAAGGGGAAGATGCCATGTATTTGATTACAATGTTGTGTTTGTCATCATTGAAATGTTTTGCACATGACTCATGAATGTTTGGCAGCTGAGCATCAGTTTCCACATCCTGCAGTTTGGTTTGATGCCACTGATGGTCGCTCTGTTCCATTTAAAGGTCCAGTGTGTAAGATTACGGTGAAAGGATCTATTGGCAGAAACTGAATATAAAATAATCCTAGTGATGTTTTCACTTGTGTGTAATTATCTAACTTGTTGTTTTCTTTACTGTAGAATGAGCCCTTTAGATATACATCGTGCAGCTTCACGACTAGATGTCAGTAAATTCTACACACTGAGCCTTTTGACAGCGCCCTCTGCAGCCACACACGGTGAATAATTCAGTTCTATTAGGGCTGTCTCTTTTCATTCAAAATTCCAGCATTCATTTGAATGTGGGTGGGAAAGTTCAAACTGTAGAGACCTGTTCAAATTCATAATATACAGTCTCGAACCTCATCAGTCCGATGAAGTTTGTCCTCTGATCCAGTAGAGGGCGATCACTGTCTGCTTGACCTATCAAGCAGACCTATCAAGGTGAGATGTGGGAATCATTCTTCATTTCATCATTCTTCCTCTTCCAAGTCATCGTGGAATCAAACTAACTGTGGAGCTGCTACGTTTAGGTAATCATGTAAAATAGCGTGGCTTTAAGTTTTGAAGCAGCTGAAGGTGAACAAGTACTGTAGCTACATAAGACACTAGATACACTGGGTCAGTTAGTCTGAGTAACTTTTTATTAGTGTTATACTGATCTGAGCACAGTTGCTCACAAGGAACAGTTTGATAAGCATAATGCAAAAAAACACCCTAAAGTCATTTTCAGTTGCGTAAAATGATCATGACATTCTGATTGATTTTTTTTCTTAGGTTAAAGAAAAATATGAAAATAGAGTTGACAGTACATTTAGGCACACTATTAACACATACTGTACACAGATATGCACAATTTTCTTTATAATAGATTCATATATAGTGGGGTTAAAAAAAAGGGGGGGAAAAAAACGACAAGCCTTCCTGTATGGAGAGGTGTGCAGAAAGTTAAAGGTGACGTCTCCTTCTCTACTGGTAAGAGAGGCTCCAGTTCGTGTCCTCCGTTTGGCCAATCAGAGTCCACCACTGCTGCTCGGTGTAAGCGAATCACAGCAGACGAGAGAGTCCCTTCTAACGTCTGCAGCAGAACGAGGCTCCGTCCAGCCAACGGGAGAGGCCCTCACACAGTTGCTACGGTAAGTGCTCATTAGCATTGATTCCATTGGTCACAGAACGCAGCTCTCCCGTGAGTGTCGGACAGGAGGAAAGGGGCGGTCCCTCCAGTTGTCCATTCATGACTCCTGTTCACACTCGACAGAATGAGCTCGAATGCATAAAACGCCACTTGCAAGTTAAAGAGAAGCAGTTGACTCCGACTGAGCTAGCCATGTCCTGATGAGCCAACAATCAGGCTGTGACACAAACCCCCACCCAGATCGATACCCCAAAACCCTCTCGAGTGGGTGAGGGATGAGTGGAAAACACTCCCCTCACACCCAAACATCAGACTTATAAAACAAGTCTGTAAAATAAACATTGTATTTTTTTACAACAACGGAATGTTAAGTTGTTGGGATAAGAAGACGTGTCAGGGAGCTTCTCTCGCGTTCTTTACTTTTAAAACAATATGAATTACTTGCTTCAGTATACAATGATTCAAAATGCACATGCATTAAAGAACAAAAATATTGCACTAAATTAAATTTTCTCTGAATAAAAGTGATTAGGGATATTTCTCCATATCTCTATGTTGATCTCCTTGTAACTTTCAGTCATGTGGAGGAGAGCTCCCTCTAGTGTGCGTCTTGGTCAGTTTATACTCGATGTAGGTTTAAGGCTGGTTCACTCACTCAGACTGGCACAGTTTCTGACTGAAGAGGGTTAGATCTTCGTGCTAAACACACATACACACACACTCACACTTAATTCTACACGAGCCAAATACAGACTGGACCAGAGAGTACATTCTTTGATAGCTAGATTCTCTGATAGCTCCAAAGCTGAGCTCCCAACTACTGTGACACACTTCAGCGTGTCATCAACCCCCCTAGGTCAACACTTCATTCTCTTTCCCCAACACGATTATCGATATGATGCACAGTATGTTCAGAGGATCCCGTCATCAAACACACACGTAGGAACAGCATGAGCTTTGGTCGTCAGAGGTCATGACATTAGCGTTAAAGGGGAGGTCTACTCTTTGAGGATGGTGGGCGGTACAGATGATGCAACACTTTGGACAAGCAAAAGAAGAAAAAAAAAATGATTCAAGAGAAGCATTGAGGCTGAAAAAAAAAAAATGCTGACGATAAAACTAAAAATCCTCCTTTCGACCCACATTTGTTCAGTCACATTTTTAAAAACAGCGCCTCTTCAACCCAGTGATATTGACATTTAGTTGCTGTGAAAACAAAATATAGTGTTTACAAGTGTGCAGAGTTTGCAGATCAAACGTCTACAGCATTGAGGGAGGCTATAACGACGGCCAGCCTAATGATGGCAGACTGAGCTGGCAGAAAGACAGAAGAAACGGGAAGGTAAGGCAAGGTGTGGGTCTACGCTATCTACTCCTGCAGTTTAAAAACAATACAGTATCTGTGGTCAGCTCTCTGGACCATGTGAAAGCAGCATCGACTGGACCAGGATAAAGCTAAACAACTAAAAAGTCCAAAAAGGAGGGTGAAAATATAGAAGCTAAAAGAAAAGACTGCCGTGTTCAGTCTTGGTGCAAAATTACAGGACTTGTGTTTGCGCATGTGTGTCACAGAGCGTGAGGAGGGCAGAGTCTGTTGTTTATCCTTCTGTTTTCAAAGACACAATCAGCTTGATCGTAGGAGTGTTTTTCACCAAAGAGTGTGAGCAAAGTGGAAGGGCAGAGATCAAGTACACACACACAAACACCTCAAGGTTCAAGTCAAGCCCCCTCTCACTCTTTACTCCCAAGTCTGTGTGTGTCTAGTCGGTCCCGTTGCCTCGTCCTTTCCTGTCACCTCTTGAGAGAGGATGATTTGAGTTTCTGGCTGTATCTGTGGATGCGCGGTGAGCGGGAGTGCAGCTTGACAAAGAGCTCGGGGAATTTGTACTGGGGGAACATTGTCTCCAAGAAGCCCTCTAGGAAAACGTAGACTAGTCGTCGGTTCATGGGTTGGTACTGGAACATGTCAAAGACGCGCAGGATGCCCTTTCTCGTGGTGTCTGCTCCAATGATGTGCTTCAGTTCATCTGGGGCAGAAAGAGAAATATGGAGTAAGTGGTGAAAAAGAAAACTCTCATGGGATAATTTTTGCCTCTTGTGTGAGGCTTTAGGGCGGGAATGAAGTATAGTATGATTTAGTTAGACAATAGAGATATGAAGCTCAAAGCAAAAGAAGGTTAAGTGAGTATACCTGCAAATTATTTCTTGTAAAATGGTTTGATACTTGTTTAAGTTACTTCTCTATTATTTTGTCTGCTTTTTCCTATTCTAAAGTATGGGCTCATTACTGCCCCCTAGGGCTAGCTAGAGTTTATATTGTACGTACAGGGTCTGGCTAATGATTAAGTGTGTATGTGCCTTCACCTGGCATGATACCCAGCAGGCTGGTCTTGGCAGCTACTCGTGTCCTCATGCGGATGCTCTTGTCCCGGCGGGGCGTTGTCTCAGCCAGTATACCGTTGGGCCAGTAGGAATCCCTGTATGAAGAAGGAGCTGATCAGGGTTAATCCCAAGTCCTCTGACCAATCAGATTGATTTGAAAGAAAAGGGGAGGCATTACCTGAACTTCTTGACATAGTCAGCCACCTGTTCTGGTGAGGTCAAGTAGTCCACATGATCCACGATTTTCCTACAGAGATTATTCAGTGCATGAGTTCAAAGCTTTTGGATTTTCTGAAGATCTCAAATTGCCTGCACTAAATTAGGTTTGTACACATATTCATCTGAGAATTTCAATCCTTATTTTGTGGTTTGCTGATAGGGACTGTAATAAATTTACAAACTGTGCATAAATATACAAACTGTTTTTTGGAAACACTTCTATTCA